TTTATTGATTAAATTCTTTAAAATTTTAATAGAGTTATAAATTTTTATAGTTTAATTTTGATTCTAAATTTTTTTTTAATATCTGAATAGTTTATTTTGCTTTAAATTTTAAAAAAAGTGTATCTATTTTTATATATAAATTTTAAAAATATTTATATAGTAATTTTTAGTAAAAATTTCAAATTTAAATTACCTTTTATATATTGTTACAGATTAAAATTAAAATGAAATGGAAAATCTCTCTCATTTCTCTTTAAAGCTTATAAAACCTACTTATACTTTTTTTTTAATAAACCTAATACTAAACCCTAACTCTAGCTCTAACTCTAAAAAATATCTCCCAAAATTTTTTAAATTATCTTTAAAAAATATTAAAATTTTATTTTAATCTGATTTTATTTTAATTTGTCACATATATTAATCCAATTTTAGCTAAATTTTAAAATTTAAATTAACCAACTTGTTTTTACAACTTTCATTAAAAATTTAAAGAAATTTATATAATAAAAATTTTTTTAATTATTAAATTTGTTTTATAAAATAACTAGTAATTACTATATAAAATTAGTCTAAACTAAAATTTCTAATTACAAAAAAAATTTTGTAAAATTATAAAAAATAGCTATAGCTTTCAAATAATAAATATAGAATACCCCAGATTGAAGATATCTGAAAAATATATTTAATAAAGTAATTAATTTTTAAAATTAACAAATAATTAGAGTTAAAAAGCATCACTTGGTAGTATAGTGTACTACTAGTAGTACAGGTAAATCCTATCCATTAATATAATAAATATAATGAAAATACAATAAAAATATAATAAAAATATTTTTAATATATTTATATTAATTGTGTTATAATTTTATATTAAAAACTTATTATAAATATATATATATAATACAATAAAAATATAATAAAAATATTTTTAATATATTTATATTAATTGTGTTATAATTTTATATTAAAAACTTATTATAAATATATATAGGGGCCCCCATAGCAAAAGGTGGTGATGGGCCAAAAAAATTTTTTCTGTAGTTTTTTAATATCATGTTCCAAATAATTCAATTTTTGCAAAAATAAAGTTTTTACAAAAAAAGTTTTTTTAGCCCATCACCACCTTTTGCTGTGGGGCCTCCCATATATATAATACAATAAAAATATAATAAAAGTATTTTTAATATATTTATATTAATTGTGTTATAATTTTATATTAAAAACTTATTATAAATATATAGAAAAATTATAAATAGTGACCTGTTGCTATGGTGACCTTATATAATCAGCCAATCATATTTAAAATTGGTAATCATATATGTTTCCGGTTTGAATTTAATTTTGATTTAGATACATGGTACAATTTTTTTTTTGCTATTTGGTTTTTTTTGCCATTTGGATATTAATTTTTTTTTCAGGTTCCAAGATTTTGTCATTTTTAGTATATAGCTTTTAGGCCTCTTTTTGTTATTTTTGATAAATAATGTCTGGCTTCGTTGTTTTTAGTATTTTTTTTTTTAGATACTGGTATTTTTTTCTTCATTACTAACTCCTACTTCTTTTCAGGTTCTATGATTCGTAAATTTAGTGATAGACTCCAGGCTTTATCATTGTTTTTGGCAAGTATATAAGTTCTAAACTTCATTGTTTTCGGTGATTTTTTTTTTTAGATACTGGTGTTTTTTTCTTTGTTACTAACTTCCACTTTCTTTCAGGTTCTAGAATTCATAATTTGGTGATAGGTTTTAGGCTTCGTCATTATTTTTAGTAGATATATAAGTTCTAGATAGGGTGTGCAATGGGCCAGGTTGGACCGGGTTTGCCTGTGCCCAAACCCAACCCATTAAATCATGAGCCTGGCCTGGGCCCAGCCCAATTTATTATAGGACTAAAAATCTAGGCCCGGGTTTGGTCCAAGCAATACTTAACCTATATAAATTACTGAGTTTAATCTGGCCCAAACTCAACCCGTTTTTACAAGCCTGGCCCGAGCCCGGTCTAATTAACTTATGGGCCTAAAAATCCAGGCCCAGACCCAGCCCAAACCCGGTCCAACCTGCAAATTATCAGGTTTGGCCTGGCCTATTGCACACCCTAGTTCTAGGCTTTATTGTTTTCAGTGATTTTTTTTTTTTAGATACTGGTGTTTTTTTCTTTATTACTAACTCTCACTTTCTTTCAGATTCTAGAATTCGTAATTTTGGTGATAAGTTCCAGGCTTCATCATCATTTTTGGTAGATATATAAGTTCCAGGCTTTGTTGTTTTTAGTAATTTTTTTTTTTGAATACTGGTATTTCTTTTTTAAATACTAGTGTTTTTCTCTTCATCACTAACTTTCACTTTCTTTCAGGTTTTAGAATTCGTAATTTCAGTGATAAGTTTTAGGCTTTGTCGTTGTTTTCAGTAAGTATATAAGTTCTAGGCTTCGGTTACTAGTGTTTTTCTCTTCATTACTAACTCCCACTTTCTTTCAGGTTCTAGAATTTGTAATTTCGGTAATAGGTTCCAGGCTTCACCATCATTTTTAGTAGGTATATAAGTTCTAGGCTTCGTTGTTTTCAGTAATTTCGGTAATAGATTCCAGGCTTTGTCATCATTTTCGGTAGGTATATAAGTTTTAGGCTTCATTGTTTTTAGTGATTTTTTTTTTTAGATTAGTGTTTTTCTCTTTGTCACTAACTTCTACTTTCTTTCAGATTTTAGGATTTGTAATTTCAGTGATAAGTTCCAGGCTTCGTCATCATTTTCAGTAGGTATATAAGTTCTAGGCTTCGTTGTTTTCAATGATTTTCTTTTTTTTAGATACTGGTGTTTTTCTTTTTGTTGCTAACTCCCACTTTTTTTTAGGTTCTAGGATTTATAATTTTGGTAATAGGTTCCAGGTTTCATCGTTGTTTTCGGTGGGTATATAAGTTCTAGGCTTCGTTGTTTTCAGTGATTTTTTTTTTGGATACTAGTGTTTTTCTCTTTGTTACTGACTCCCACTTTCTTTTAGGTTCTAGGATTCATAATTTTGATAATAAGTTCCAAACTTCATCATCATTTTTAGTAAATATATAAGTTCTAGGCTTCGTTGTTTTCAGTGATTTTTTTTTTTTGGATACTGGTATTTTTCTTTTCATCACTAACTCCCACTTTCTTTCAGGTTCTAGGATTTGTAATTTCGGTGATAAGTTCTAGGCTTTGTTGTCATTTTTAGTGGGTATAAGTTTTAGGCTTCATTGTTTTTAGTGATTTTTTTTTTTTGAATACTGGTGTTTTTTCTCTTCATCACTAACTTCCACTTTCTTTCAGGTTCTAGGATTCATAATTTCGATAATAAGTTCCAGGCTTTGTTATTATTTTCAGTGGGTATATAAATTCTAGGCTTCGTTGTTTTTGGTAATTTTTTTTTTTTTGAATACTAGTGTTTTTCTCTTTGTCACTAACTCCCACTTTCTTTTAGGTTCTAGGATTCATAATTTCGGTGATAAGTTCCAGGCTTTGTTGTCATTTTCAGTAGGTATATAAGTTCTAGGCTTCATTATTTTTTTTTTGGATACTGGTATTTTTTTCTTCATCACTAATTCTCACTATTTTTCAGGTTCTAGAATTTGTAATTTTAGTAATAAGTTCTAGGCTTCGGGTCGTTTTCAGTAGGTATATAAGTTCTAGGCTTCATTGTTTTTAGTGTTTTTTTTTTTATTGAATACTAATATTTTTTTTTGGATACTGGTGTTTTTCTCTTCATCACTGACTTCCACTTTCTTTCAGGTTTTAAGATTCGTAATTTTGGTGATAAGTTTTAAGCTTTGTCATTATTTTCGGTAGATATATAAGTTCTAGGTTTCATTGTTTTCAGTGATTTTTTTTTTTGAATGCTAGTGTTTTCTCTTCATTACTGACTTCCACTTTCTTTCAGGTTCTAGGATTCGTAATTTCGGTAATAGGTTTTAGGCTTTCTCATCATTTTTAGTAAGTATACAATATAAGTTTCAGGCTTCGTTGTTTTCAGTGTTTTTTTTTTTTTGAATACTGGTGTTTTTTTCTTCATCACTAACTTTTTTTTCAGGTTCTAAGATTTATAATTTCGGTAATAGGTTCTAGGCTTTGTCATTGTTTTTAATAAGTATATAAGTTTTAGGCTTTGTATTAAGTTCTAGGCTTTGTCACCATTTTGCATTGTTTGCACAATTTCGATTTTTTTTGTTACTCTTTCTGTTTGAATTTCATCTAGCGAGTAGGTAAATGGGTGGGCAGGTTTTTTAGTTCTTGTTTTAGTGTTAGTTTTATTGGTAGTACTTTTTTTTTTTAAATAAAATGCGAAATTTGCATCGGATATATAGAGGTTATGATATCATAATGCAGTAATACCAAAATAAATTAAATGATATATTGTTAATAAAAATTTCGAGGTTTCTTCGATAAAATAATTGCTCTTTTTTTTGTTATGCAATATTTTTGGACAATCGATCAATTGATCAAAATTGGTCCTGTAAGTCATGTGTTTGCCGATTTGCTCTTCACAAATCAGTAGGCACGTGACTTATGTAATCAATTTTGATTGGTTGATCATGGGGTCGCTATAAACTAACGCTCAAATATATATATACAATATAATAAAAATATTTTTAATATATTTATATTAATTTTTTTTTTTTTTTTAAGTTAAAAAAACCTCTTTGGCCTGAAAGCTTTTATTAGAATTTGAAATGGTGGTTTATGTGCAATTACAATGATGATATATCTAGCTATACATACACCTTTTGAGTGTCTAATTTAAGTAGTCTGCCTGAAGGTTCTACACTATCTGCCGTACCTGTACCCCAACTAGGGAGTATCTATTTAAACCATCTGGTTACAACTGCCACCAGTTAACCACTTAACTCCAGGTTTCCTTACCATTTATATATGGATTTTGGTATTACCCTGGCAAAGGATTACTGACTGCCTTAATATATTTATATTAATTGTATTATAATTTTATATTAAAAACTTATTATAAATATATATATACAATATAATAAAAATATATATTTTTTTTTAATATTTGGGGTGTAGCTCCTGCTCCAGACTTTTATTAATACTTAAGTAAATTGACATATGATGGTGC